TCACAATTACTTCCCTCGCCGTTTACTTAACGAACAGAGGTAAATCTTCCTACATGAATGAATCGTCGATGAGTACTTTTTGTTAGATCATCACGGTGATTGAAGAAAACATTGTCGTGACAGTCCTAGCCAAACTAGTTCCGTTGATCAAATCTTCTTGCGCTTTTTTTTTCTTACGCGCTCTCTAATTGACAGGTGTCAGATGGTGACAGATACTTGTAAAAATAATGTTTCAAAGTTTGTTAAGAAGCTTTTTAAATCACCTTTATCGTTGCGGAAATGAAAATGTTTCAGTGAGGCATCTCTCTTTAATTTGCATCACCTCTATTTTAACCAGTTACTCGCTCAAAAATTGTTCAGTTAATGGAAGATCTTGACGTATTTATGGCCCTAAATCATTCGGGTTCTTTCAGAAAGAATCTCGTCAAGTTTAAAAAAAATAAATATGTTATTTACCGGCTGAGGGTCGGTCCGTATGGTGAAAAACTGTGACCTCGAGGCCGTAGGCCGAGGGCAGCATTTTCAAGACCTAGACCAAATAATTTTTCAAAATCTGATGCATCATGGCCAGTACCATGGTGGTTGCATATTTCTCCATACAAAAAAAAATCAGTTCAATTTTGGGTCGAAAAGAAGGGGTGGATGAAACTTGCGCTCAGTAATGGGATATTATAAAGTGTCATTTGAGTCATGAACGTTCTTATAAAGCAGCTGCACCTAAGCTTTGGATTGTGTTATCTCCTTCAACTAGAAACTCAACAAGCACAGATATTAAGAAATTATAAAAAATCTTTTTTAATGGCTTTGGGTGCGTAATCTGGTAATTGATTTATCATAAATAGTTTATCTTGAAATTTTATTTTATTGTCTTATTCCTCGTTGATTGATATATTTGTCATTTCTACTGAGAACCTACAACATTATTTTGATTACTTTTTTATGCGGTATATGATTTTTTTTATATCAGTCAACTGGTCAATAATATCAGTATTTATTAGTTATCAGTATTGGTTACTTCTGGTTTTATTTTTGTAAAGTGCAGTTGAAAATACCCCAAATGATATCTTCGCTATATAAGTAAGTAAATGTTATTATTACTATTATTAGTATTATCATTACAAGAAAATATCTACTCCGTTCAAAACCTCTTACAGTTATTATTGATTATCTTAAAAACCAAAACCTAAGTTATCACAACGACCAATCAGAAGAAACGGTAAAACCTTTAAGAGCCAATGAGACCACAGAGTCAAACGGACCTGAGGCGCGGGAAAACGTAAGTGACCTAGTCAGGATTGGTTTTTGTTTCAGATCTGATTGGTTAAGTTTCTGGACCAATCACAGAGCAAAGTAAAGCAAAACCAATGCAATTCTAGATTACTGTTGACACAGAGTATGCTTTCAATTCAATATTTCCTTCTTCCTTATTGATGATATCCAAAGTTGGCCTATTCCTCGTTAATTCTTGTCCAGTTTTGACCCTCCTTTCCTGAGGTGAGAATCGAGGAACTCGACATCTTAAACAGGCCGATCTCAAGCCTTGACGGAAACTTTCAATAAATATGAAATACAGCAAAGGGTTAAAGGCGCTGTTGTTACAAATAAGCCAGTAACTTATAGCAAATAAGAAGGGATGTTGCACTAAAACTGCTCCAAAGGTCGGACCAGCGTTTCCATATTCGACGATTATGAGAAAAGCAAAGGCTGGTGCCCATGAAACAAAAAAGACAACTACAATTGATATCATTAAAACGGTGACCTTTCGTGCTGTACGAATGACAAGTTCCTTTTGATTGCTGGGCATCTCACCAGGAATGTCTCTTCTCCAAAGACGATAAGAAATCACTGAATAAAGTGTAATCAATGCGATAAACGAGCCGACTAAAGTAGCTTTCGCCAAGTACAAGTCGAGAGAGCCTCGACCGCTTTTCTCTTCACATCTCGGCCACACGTCACCGTCATAGTATAATAATTCTGTGTCTGACAGACTCACTACTGGTAACGAAAGTGAAATCAACCAAATTACAGGAATTGAAATCTTTACCAGCCATTTTGATGAAAGTTTGTAAGATAGTGGTCGAGTGACGGCAAGACATCGATCAATGGCGATTGCAACTAGGTTTAAAAGAGAGCAGTAAATTGGAAAAGAGTTCCCGTATTCCACTATTTTGCAAGTGACCCTTCCAATATCACCGCCAAACCATCTGCCGCCGAGAAAAATTCTTCTGGTGAAAGTTGGTGTCAGGAGTAAAGTGGTCAAAATATCACAAACAGCCAAGTTCATTATGAGACAATTGGTTGATGTTTTCATATATTGTTGTTTGGCTATGATGCAAATCACTAGAGAATTGCCTATCACAGACATCACGAAGCTAAATAATATGGCTGTGGCGAAAATTATTGTCATTGGTAGACTAAATCGGAAATTGATGGTGCTTTGTGGATCTGTTGAGAGATAAGGGAAATCTAAGAAGTTTTTAATTAGTTGGCGAGAGAAAAGTAAGCTCATTTTTAGCATCCACGGGAGAGGCTCATCGATATACCTGACAAAAGAGTCCATTTCCTCTGGTCCTATCATGAGATCATGTACCGTTATAAATTTAACACCCAATCCTCGTGTAAAAAATTTGTTTTTCCAAAAATAATTTCTTATGGCGTCTACTTACCCCCAATTTTTCAGGAAAAATAAATTTTTTAACTTCCCTGAGGTAAAATGTAATTAATGTGACTCACAGGAAATTGCATTCTCCCCCTCCTGTTATGTAAATTGAGCAAACAAAACATTGACAGTTTATCACTTATTACTGCTCACTTTCACGAAAGGGCGTGAAAAATAATTGAGCACTTTCCCTTTTCGAGATAATAAGGGTGTTCCTTAGGTGTAGTCTTCAGAATTATTTTTACTAGAAAGTTTAGTAAAACGCTGATGAGATGTTCGGGAAACTTAACGCTCAAGTTATGTAAACTATGAGCTTCGTATGTCTTTTACGGCTTAAATGAATAAATCATTTTCATGTTGCAGGGCCGGCAGGGATTGTTTCCCATGAAAACTCATGAAAAATAATCATTCTGAACGGTAACGTTCTTTCCCAAAATGTCCAATCTTAAAAACGAAGCCATATTACATGTTTCTATGGAATCAGATGGTAGTCAGTCATCCTTGCTTTCGTTCTATCTCTCTGTTCCTATATCTGTGTACCCCAAGAGAACAAGGGAAGTAAACGTTTCGATAACTTACTTTTCCCTAGATTTGTATCGTTGAGGCTTGATGAATTATCCTCTGCAAAAGAGACCAACACACAGCAAACGAGAACTGGGCAAATAACATGAGACCAGAGCCTATGTATGAGCATATTGCTTCAGTTTACTGGGAGGATGAGAACTCAAATGAACACAGCGGGGCCGTTTTGTGTATGACTTGTCCTTCTGATTTGCCGATCAGTGGTTTCCTTTTGACCCTATATTGTTATTTACATTTCAAGGAAAATAAAGACTTGGAGGACAAAGAGAAATGGATTTTATCGTTTTTTATTTCTCGCAATCTTGAATCTTTTGCTATTCAATATTTAATATAAAGCATTGAATTGCTTTCGCAAAACATGATCTTTTTCTATTTCATTTCATTCCGGATTTACAGAGCATGAAAGTCTTTGTAGATACTCAATTCAAAACAAATAGGTCATAGCTAGATTTAAATTTTTGATTCTGATCCATCTGTAAAAAGCTACCAAGGTTCTCCCGTAAACCCCATAACAGTATTCTAAACTGGTGACTGAGGGAAATGTCTAAATTTTTAAGGGTGCCTGCCAAAGTTTTCGACTGATTTTCGAAAACTCAGTGAAGCATCATGGCCGATTCCATGGTGGTTGCATAGCTTAAAGAGCTGTTTGATTTAAAAATAGATATCGGCAGCAAAATGTACAGAAAAGCAATTAATCAGTTCATTAATGGGTCGAAAGTTGAACTTCCGTAAACTTCTCATATTTTAGACATGTAGTTGTCAGAGGTCTTTTCAACTGCATATGCTATTTTTAATTCACAGTAACAAACCGAAAAATTATTTCACAGAAAAATTAAAATATCTAATCATCCATTTTTAGTTTTTAGTTAGGATTAGTCTCTGAAATCAATCAGGGAACGAAATAATCATTAACTAAATGGTATTTTTCAAAACTTGTACCAAGCCTCCAACGCTGAGAGTGCCTGAGCAGAAATCTTGAGGAATTATTTCGCGTCCTTAACAATGAATGTGTCATATGAGCTTCATTGTCTCCCTTGTTGTAGTTGTTCAATCTGTGTTTTGTACAGCAAGCCCTGAAGTACGATAAAAACAACTTTCTCGAGCGCCTAACCTCGAGAGAACCAGGATTGGAACAAAATTGATTTGTTTGCGGCAAAATCAGATGGCTTAAAGTCACAGCAATTTCCACCAACGTTCTTGGTTTTAGGAATACATTACATACTCTAAAATACACTGCATTATATTACAAACTTACGAAGCTCTTTATTGCCGGATCAGGTCTTCTTGACACACACACACAGACACAATAGCTCTCATTTATTAAACCTCTATGTGCTACTTACCCTATTTTCATCGTTGTAAAATGTAAATGATTACAATTCCTTTCTACTGATGTTCTTGTTTCATTCGTCATGATAAGCAATCCCTGAATTTTAAATAGCATTCTCAGTATTTACTGCTGCATTTTCACCCTGAATTTTTCTGCTCGATGACTCACTCAAGTCTTGTCTCGAACTGAATTCAGTCACTTATTATAAAAAGAACAATCTTTTGATCTTACTTGTTACAGTCTAACACATATGCCTTCGTGGACTAGTTCGTCATTTTATTTAGACAGACAAAATCAAAATACTCAACCAGATATAGACGGTTGACATGATTTTACGAGGGACGATAAATGTTTTTCATGTTAGATGAAGTAAAATGGAGCGGACTGCGCACATAAGAAATTGATGCACAATTTCAACTTTATGTTCTACTATTGAAGAGGTGTAACTTGTGTAATGTGGGTATTACAGAATGTCCTCAATTCAACAGCCCTTTCCTCCGGATTCAGAACGTTCACAGCTTGCCTGTTTCTAATTCGTTCTCCTGTTTCGTACTTCCATCGAAACCTACGTAGTCTTAACCGAGGAGGTCGACAATTTGAACATAATAATTTTAGACCTTGACGGAAGCTTTCGATAAATAGGAAATACAAACACGAGTTACAAGCACTGTTGTTTACGACTAACCAGAAACTTATAGCAGTTAAAAATGGATATTCTCTCATAATTGACTCATAAGCGAAATTAATCTCAATTACTTCTGCGAGCATAGACATAAAAATTGGTGCCCATGAAAGAAAAAACACGGCTACAATGAAAATCATTAATATGGTGACCTTCCGTGCTGTACGAGTAGCAAGTGCTTGCTGATTACTGGAAACTTCGCCAGGAATGCTTCTTCTCCAAAGACGATAACAAATTACAGAATAGAGGACAATCAACGCGATCAACGAGATGACCAAAAATACTAAGGACGAAAACAGTGCAAAACGGCTTCTTCCACTTGATGATTCAGCGTTCCCATCTTGTAGTGTCAACACACCCTCTAGTGATAGCAAACATGAACTCAACCATACGAGAGGAATTCCTACTTTCACCAGCCATTTTGATGAGACTTTGTATGTCAGTGGTCGGATGACGGCTAGAAATCGATCGATGGCGATGGTAACCATGTTGAAAATTGAGGAATAAAGTAGTATAGAAACTCCGAAAGCCAACATTCGACGAGAAATGTCAGAAACATTTCCCAGGTAAGAGCCATTCGCTTCATCTCCGATGCAAAGGTACAAAATTAATAAGGGAGCCTGAATCATAGTTATTAAAACATCACTTATAGCTAAGCTCACTATTAGACAGTTGGTTGATGTTCTCTTGGTTTGGTTCTTGAATACGATGTAGATCACTAATGAGTTTCCAATCACAGACACCAGGATGGTAACAGACGAGGCCAAAGTGAAAATCACTTTAATCGTGAGGCTCAATTGAGGACCTGTTGATGAGAACGAAGTTTTTTCTGTTGAATTAACACCATTTATTAGCTGAAAAGGTACATGTGACGCCAGATGAAAAATTTCCAAGAAAAAGTGATCATCTTTTATTGCTAAGACGATAAATTTAATTTTTTTTAAGGTTTCCCATCATTAACAGAATTTTCAACTGTCTTTGATTGATTCCATTAAATAAAAATGTCATGGCTAGAAATGGCAATCAGTTGCTTGTCATTTTTTTACCTTTTAAATAAAGTTATATTTTTATTTTGTATATTGCAGAAAAATTGTGCTGGTGTGTCGTGTGATCCTCACGATTTTCAAGTTTGAGCTTTGTTGATTCTAGGCATTTTGATATTCTTACGAAACATCAGTGAAAACTTCTTCGAACTCAATTGCTGGTTAACCTAACGAAACCCACACGATATTTAGAGATAAAGAAAATTGAGATGTTACCTACAGAGTCCAAATAAGTCTTGGAGATCAATAAATCCCCAAGTAATACAAAGGAGGAATAAGAAGCAAAGAAGACCGAATCGCTAGAAAATCAAAATTTCGATGCAAACACAATACTTACCTGTTTCAAAATCAGTTGTTGCACTTTCGTCTGCCATTGACTTCCACACTCTGCACGCTAAAATCAGGCAAAACAAAATTTGGGTTTTTGGTGAAGATAGTCTAACTTAAGAAAATAACTCTTATAAATAATTCTTGATATTTCGCAGTGAGGGAGTGTTTTCTCCAGACTGACAATAGAATCGTTTGGGTACATTATTGGAAAACAGAATGTGATTGGTGAGCTGAGGACATCGTAACCTTTCGAGGCGTTAGGTATGTCAATTATTGGTTATGGAAATAATGTTTATGAGGTTTAATTAAAATGGTTCCTTCTTCCTGCTGGGCAAATATTTGTCAAAAATTAATTTCGCCATGAAATCATAACTTTTTCTATCATTAAGAAAGATGGTGTTGATATGGATGAAACAATATATTGGTGTTCCTTAAAGTTTCTTTTAGCTCTGGTGTGACTCATTAGACGCTCATTGCGGTTTCAGAATTGATTTCTGATAAGGCGAGATCTAGAAAGCAACGCCACACCGAACTTTGTCGACTCAAATGGCGCATTCATCTATTGCAATAAAAAATATGTTAAAGTAATCAGAGAGATGAATATTGAAAAAGCTTTAATCGAGAATATTCTAGGATCTTCTCAGATTCACTACATTTTTTAATAGTTTGCAACGATCATAATGTCATTCTGCTCGGTAGTTTTCGTCCAACAGAATCGAAAAATACAGCTCTTTATTAGTTTATTCTTCAACTCATTTTTGACTGATTTTCACTTACCGGTACTCTTTTCTACTGTAAATTAGTCATCACTTTTTTCTTTTATTTCGACGTTTAGTTATAACAATTATACAGAATATACATAAGGTTGTTCCACCATGAAATATTTTCGCAAGGGTTAAAAAAAATCCATTAAGCATTACGCTAGAACTACTCAGCTCGTGGAATCTATAATTTTCCGTTCACACTTACGACAACCTTTGATAAACATTTATACAAATATTCCCGCAGGTTTTGGCCCGTGGTTTTGACAGCTGAAAAGCACTCAGGATCACAGTTCCCATGTAATAACAGATAATTATGTTTTGGCCGAACTATTTAAAAGACCCAAAAAAGCTCAATACCACGCCTAAATTAAGATCAAGCTAGAGTTGAGCTAAAAGTGGCAATACTTGTTAGGAAGAATATTTGATTAAAAGAGCGTGTTTTGATAAATACTACTAAGCGCACGGAATAAACTAAAAGACTCTAACAAAAATATCATGCCGCATTTTCATCAGCAGCATGAATATTTTAGAGGAATCGCACCTGCCTTGCCGGAGCGCTGGTTACTCTGGCGACGCTTAAAATTTCTCTCGGGTGGGGAGAGGAAATTGCCACTGCCTTTAGACAGACGACGAACAGCTCCTATTTCCCAAAGGAAGCCGTTGTTCGAGTCATTAGAAACAACTCGAACTAACTCCTAGATCATAATGGGCATCTACCGAAACATATGTTTTAATATTTGGAATTCCATAATGACCATGTGTTAAATGTTATGAAGGAGCTGGCCAAACGCACACAACATCTTGCAACATCCAAAAATATTGCAATAATTTGACCATTTCCAAACTTGATCCAACACCGACTAACGCAACAATCAGGCAACAAGTTAAACTAAACTGCGCGAGATAAAAACGCAACAGTCAGGCACAAAGGTAAACTAAAATGCACGAGGAACCAGAGTTACAATCAGGCAACAAGGTGAACTAAAATGCGCGAGATAATAACGAAACAATCAGAAAAAAAGGAAAATTAAAATGCACGAGACACTAACGCAACAATCAGACAGAAAGGAAAGCTAAAATGCGAGAGACACCAAGGCAACAATCAGACAAAAAGAAAAACTAAAATGCACGAGACACTAACGCAACAATCAGACAAAGAAGGAAAACTAAAATGTATGAGACACCAACGCGAGATAAAAACGCAACAGTCAGGCACAAAGGTAAACTAAAATGCACAGGAACCAGAGTTACAATCAGGCAACAAGGTGAACTAAAATGCGCGAGATAATAACGAAACAATCAGACAGAAAGGAAAACTAAAATGCTCGGGACACTAACGCAACAATCAGGCAACAAGGAAAACTAAAATGCACGAGACACTAACGCAACAATCAGACAAAAAGGAAAACTAAAATGCACGAGACACTAACGCAACAATCAGACAAAAAGGAAAACTAAAATGCACGAGACACTAACGCAACAATCAGACAAAAAGGAAAACTAAAATGCACGAGACACTAACGCAACAATCAGACAAAAAGGAAAGCTAAAATGCACGAGACACTAACGCAACAATCAGACAAAAAGGAAAGCTAAAATGCACGAGACACTAACGCAACAATCAGACAAAAAAGGAAAACTAAAATGTACGAGACACCAATGCAACAATCAGAAAAAAAGGAAAACTAAAATGCACGAGACACTAACGCAACAATCAGACAAAAAGGAAAACTAAAATGCACGAGACACTAACGCAACAATCAGACAAAAAGGAAAGCTGAAATGCACGAGACACTAACGCAACAATCAGACAAAAAGGAAAGCTAAAATGCACGAGACACTAACGCAACAATCAGACAAAAAGGAAAGCTAAAATGCACGAGACACTAACGCAACAATCAGACAAAAAGGAAAACTAAAATGCACGAGACACTAACGCAACAATCAGACAAAAAGGAAAACTAAAATGCACGAGACACTAACGCAACAATCAGACAAAAAGGAAAACTAAAATGTACGAGACACCAACGCAACAATCAGACAGAAAGGAAAACCAAAATGCGCGAGACACTAACGCAACAATCAGACAAAAAGGAAAACTAAAATGCACGAGACACTAACGCAACAATCAGACAGAAAGGAAAACTAAAATGCACGAGACACTAACGCAACAATCAGACAAAAAGGAAAACTAAAATGCACGAGACACTAACGCAACAATCAGACAAAAAGGAAAACTAAAATGCAAGAGACACTAACACAACAATCAGACAAAAAAGAAAACTAAAATGCACTACACACTAACGCAACAATCAGAAAAAAAGGAAAACTAAAATGCACGAGACACTAACGCAACAATCAGACAAAAAGGAAAACTAAAATGCACTACACACTAACACAACAATCAGACAAAAAGGAAAACTAAAATGCACGAGACACTAACGCAACAATTAGACAAAAAGGGAAACTAAAATGCGCGAGACAATAACACAACAATTAGACAAAAAGGAAAACTAAAATGCGCTGGACACTAACGCAACAATCAGACAGAAAGGAAAACTAAAATGCACGAGACACTAACGCAACAATCAGACAAAAAGGAAAACTAAAATGCACTACACACTAACACAACAATCAGACAGAAAGGAAAACTAAAATGCACGAGACACTAACACAACAATCAGACAAAAAGGAAAACTAAAATGCTCGGGACACTAACGCAACAATCAGATACAAAGGAAAGCTAAAATGCAAGAGATTTCATTTGGTGAAGACAAATTTGTGCGTAAATGTTGTACAAAAATATTTTCCATGATGAAGTTTGTTTGTAATTTATATACAAACTGAGGTTTGTTTTATTTAATAGCTTTTACAAATATCCATGTAGTTTGGAAATCTTTCCAAATAGCTTACAAAAAGATCCCTTACAAGTTAAATCAAGGCTTGAAATAGTAAAATAAAATGCTGAACTGATTTAACTAAGCTCACAGCATGACAATTTCATAAATTTTCATTCAAGAATATACTGAATTTTCTATTCAGAAAGGAGGAAAAGCTCGATAAGGAGGAGGAAAAGCTCGATAAAAATGAATACTTAGCTTTTCAACGAAGCTAACTCTTTCTATGTCAAAGGTGGACTGTTGTCGTCGTCTGAAGACTCAAACATGCGTTTTATTCGTTTATAAGTTTTTTGTTAATGTACTTCTGTTGAAGACGAGGACGAGTTGACAGTGATGGTGAAATTTCCCCCATAAAACACAGCACCCTTGAATAGCCCTGCTGCTGTCGGTGTTAGACTTTAATCAAATTTCATCATAGACAAATCTAAAATTTAAGAATTTGCAAAAGCCTTGTAAATAGTGCAAAATGATCTAGAAATGTACTCACTGCTACTGCTAAAAGCTTCTTTACAAATAAAGCTGACTGCTGTTCTGTTTGAGAAAGAAAATTATCACTTTCATAGTTTAAGATGGTTAACGGAACAACTCAATATCTAAAAGCAGAAAAAGCAAGATTTCAGTTCTTATCTACTCTTATATACCTGTGACTTGTTGAGAGGGAAAAATACTTGACCACTGAAAAAGAAACAACAAGCAAGTCAACATCCTTTTCCTTCATCCATGAAGAATGTAACTATACATTCAAAGAAACAGCCATTGTTACTGTGGAGTTGAAGCTCTCAATTAAATAGCTTTTAATAATTTTTCTTACTTCTACCTTTCAAACAATACCTGTAGATTTCAGTCCTTCCCAGTCCTATATTCATTCAAGGTTGACTTTATCTTTGAAATCCATCGTTTTGTTTTGTTTTATTTCTTATTAATATATTTTTCATCATTGTTAATTTGCTTTGTTTTGATTCATAATGTAATAGTTGTGCATGAATTGACTTAGGGTGTAACTGGCAGCGCATCTTATTTTCCGCTTGACCTATGACATATGAGCCACTGGCTTTGGCAATTCTCAATGTTAAAATCAAAAGAAAATCGTGTTTGTTTATCATGTGATTAGATAAATATGATTAAATAGCACAATACACACACAAAAAAGTATAATGAGATGATCGACATGGCTTACTGTTTTCCAGCTCCCTCATTGCTTGAGCGGTTGCCATAACAGCTACATTAGTGATATTAAAACAACTGATTTTTATAAAAGACCGCTGCATGTCGAGACGTGTCTTATCAAATTATGTGGAAAGCAGCATAACATGGCATTCTTTTAATAACTTGAAGCTTTGCTATGCGAAAATTTCTAGTTAATGCCATGTCGTATAAAATTCATTTCAATTACATAGAGCCTAAGTCCGCAGTTTAGTCATATTTGTGCAATCAAGATTTGGTGCAGGTACACAATCACATGATTTCGTGTACAGTTTTGAAAAAATGAGCACGAGTGATATTTTCAAAGCTATGAAAAACTATGTTTAAAAATTTGCAAATTCGGAACTAGCGGCAAGTTTCTGATATAGGCGTAGGGTTACCTTTGGTTGCTCGAAACGCCGGAAGTGACAAAGAAAGACGAGAAATGACCGGCCAAAAAAGCTCTCTTGTAAAGAAAATAAGAATAAGCCAAGGCCTTCGAGGAAAATATTGAATAAAAGAAGAATGATATGAACAATACAAGCAGGAACCCTGGCCAGGAGATTGTGTTTCGAGCTGGTATCTACAATGTCGAAGGTCAATGGCGGGAAAGCTTTGGTGTAGCCGCGTCATAAACATGGAAGCCGCATTTTGGCGGGAAATCAGTACTAGTTGGCTGTGTTAAACGATAAAAATGGGACTATATTTAATCTGAAATATGGTAAGAGTTTCCTTATATTGGTGTCGGGGAAAGGAATGGAAATATTATATTACTTTAAACCATTCCTGCAAGGGATTGTAAAAAAAGACAGGTTGATTACTTCTTATTCCTTTTGGAAGCCTTATCTTAAAGGTAGAGTTTGGTCACGTTTTCCTCGTTATGATAGTGAAGTTGACATGGAAACAGTTGCTCAGTTTCTACGGTAATTAGAACTCGTGATAGTGTCTTGGGAAAGCTATGTTATTAATTAAGTCAATTTGTTAGTCCAGGAAGAGTGAATCTCTCTGGTAAAAGGTCACGTTCGACATCTCTCGCTCTTAAAGGTGTAAACATGTGATACCTCCATGTTTTGATATTAGAAAGTTATTATGGCTGGCACGTAGCAACTTGGGGGCGGTACTTGTGAAGACCCCTTTTTCTCCAACTTTTGTAATCATGATGTTGTTATGTAACGGTCTTCTAAGGCAATTTTCTCTTAAGATGCCCCTTTAGATGTGAATAATATTCTGTCTGTAGGTTAGTTAAGGTTTTTTATATTACCAATCTCGTTTCTGTTCTGGCCGATCTCAACTGTAAGAATAAGAAATTTAAGGTAGAAGATGATTTTGTAACTGCGCAAATAACTCGAAGGCGCATAGCTAGTAAGCAGGAACTGTCATACGTAATCTAACGTGATTCGCTGGCTGAGATGGAACGATGACGATACAAGAAGACTGACAGCTTAGTAGTTTCACCTGTAATGTCACTTTATAAACGGTGATCCTCGCTTTTCTCATTAGATAGGAGTTAGTCCCCGTTGTAACAACTTGAGAAGAAAAGAGATTAAAGAAGAATCAACCAAACAAACAACGAGTGTTAGAGAATTTACTTCTAACAAGCTGGTGGAGGATTCTTTGGCCGGTTCTGGTACTGTTACGGTACTCCTTGGATAAGTGGCCGTAGACGTGGACGTGGACGAACGCTCCAACTTTCCAACAGCCGATTGAGATCAAGGCGACTCGACAAGAACCCTGGCCGAAAAACGCCGAAAATAGCAATCGAACAAAAATCAGAAAATCCTCGTTATAAATTGAAGTTATCCTTCCTCTAGCTTTTATTTTTGTCGTTATTTAAAACAAAAGGCGCTTTCAGTCGGCGCCAATCATGGGAGGTTCTGGCAAAATACCAAATCACACCTGTCAGACAATATTAAAATGGATTTTCTGATTCTCCGCATCAACTGAAATTGAAGCAAATATAACGCGAAAAACTGCAATGGTTTTAACATTATGAAAACCGAGAGAGTGGTGACGCGCCGCCATCCACGGTTAAAACATAAATTTCATTTGTCGAAAAATTTATAGTCTATGGAAATGAGACACATCTAACTTGATAATAGCTTAGCTTAACTGATAAATCCGCAGGAGATTAGAAAATGTTAACTCGGAAATTACGTGCTTTGCGATTTTTTTTTCGGTTGACCGTCACAAATGGGGCAACAAAAATGCTAACTACCGATCACATGTAAGTCAGTTAATCGTTACTGAAAAAGTGTCAGACTGTCTTCCTTTATTACTGTATGTAATATCCAGAAAATACAATATTTCTAGAAATGCCAGTTGTGTGTTAATAAATCTTTACGTGGATCGAAAGCTGTAAAATGAGTTCACGTATTTTTTGGCCACTTGCCACCGTTGATAGAATCGCGTTCTATTTCCTAGCAAGGAGCTGATGAACAGACCCGTGTCCTTATTGTGCGGACACAGTGGATGCCAAGAATGTATACATCAGCTTATTTCAAATCAATCCGGAGGTGGACGGGAAAAGGCGTGTGCAGTATGTCGGGAGCCAATCAACGAACACATGTTGAACATCAGCATACCCCTCAGCTCAGTCATTTCCAAATTGAATGTGAAATGCACAAAAGTTGGCTGCACGTGGGTCGGTGAGCATGGTTCTAAAGAGAGACATCAAGAGACCTGCTCATTCCTCCTTCTGGAATGCCCCAATGGCTGTCCTGGATCGCATTTGCGAGATTCACTTGAGCGTCACTTGGAGATCTGCCCTCAAGAGAAAGTACCTTGCAAGTACTGCACTGCTGAGGTGAAAAGGTATATACTAGATCAGCATGAACCAACCTGTCAAGAAAAGCCCGAACCATTTCCATTAAATTGTGGCTATAATTTGCCCAGCTCAGTTATCATTCAGTTATCGCCATGAATTGATTCACAAAATTTTGTCATCATTTTGTTAAAGAAAAGAGCATGAAAAAAATTAATCAAAAGGACCAACAGCCGGTTTTGCCCCCAGTAGTAAAGCACCGTTAAGGTAAAACTTGTTAAAAATTTTTTTGGCCTCTTCAAGGGTTAACCCGGTAATAGTGATAAAATTCCCAAAGAAGCCCGATAACGTAAGATCCATGTGTGTCTATTTCAGGTCCCATGTTCACCTTCATTTGGACGAATATCCGAAAAGAATGATGAAATGCAGCGTGGCCGGTTGTAACAATTTCTACCCGTTAGGGATGGAAATTGCCCACAAGGAACTTTATCAATGAAGCCACCAGGCACTACTTAAGAGTCAAGTTGAAAGTCTTCAGCGTGCGATTTGTGATAAGGTTTGTTGATCTCATTTAGGCTCGTTTTCAAGTATAACAATTGAGACACTTTTCATTCAGTTAGAATTTTGATGTTTTCGTTTTTGTTATTTGTTTTTGTCTCTTATTTTCAATAATAATAATAATATTATTATCGTTTTTTTTCTAAATATTGTTATTATTATTATTTGCAGTCTTAAGTTGCCGTGAAAGGGAGTTGTGTAAGCGAAAGTACTACAGATGGACAGTGCCGAAGTCGACAATCCGAATTCCAGAGGATATTTCAAGTCCACTGTTTGGGTTTGAAAGTCACTCATTTCGGTGTCTGTGGAAGAGGACCTCTGGCCAAAATAGGCTGTTTCTAAATGCAGTGTTTGGTTCTTCGCCAATCACAGTTCAAACAAGGTATGAAAGTCAAAAGGTATTCCCACCCTGACTGTTATTAAGTAAAATGGTAGTATGGTAAATCAACTTGTCATTCATGAATGGAGAACTTAGCAATGGCAGTATGGACATCTTTTAATTTAAATCGTTAATCCAAACAACCTTCATTTATAACTTTTCACATTTATCGACTGTTTATTTGCGATATTTAAAACAGCATCATTCTATCAAATTCTAAACACTAATTAATCTACCCTTTTTATCAGATTTGTTTTGTTAAACGAGGACGGAGGAATGAGAGTCTTTGATACCGAATATGAAACCCTTATGGAGGATCAAATCATCGGGGCAAAGGAAAACTTTGGCCCGATTAAAAAGGGCAAGATTAAATTATAAAACTAATTATAGCTATCTACAAACATACATAGAATAAATTGTAAATTTTCTTTAGTAAAGTTTCTTTTCACTAACTTATTTACGAAGATGCTGTTTCTTTCGTCACGTGTTTAATTCAACTTACAGGGTGGCCAACGCACCACTAATTTCGCTGCCTTTTGTTACAGTCGTTTCGTGTAGGTCAAACTGAAATGTCGCGCTCGTTGGTAAAGGGTTACACTCGAAGGCCGCTTTAATGTAACGCCGCTTTACATGGGCTTACCGCAAATATTTAGCTGGCTTCAAACTTTAAAAAATGTCCGCTCATTTCACTAATCTATGTTCTGAGGATTTTTGGGTATTTTTAGATATAGATAGAGATATTTTTTCTCAAAGGATAAGTAAAATTGAGGTAAATAAGAAATGCTGATGATTTGATATAGTTTAAAAATTTGGAATTTGAAAAACAGTCCCTACTAACCTGGGGTTAGACCACGAGCAGTCCCTCCTTTTCGGAGAAGTCCGTCGCGCAAGTCGAAAAAGAAAATCGGTGGAAAAAAAATTAATGGTAGCGCGCTGCGGGGAACTCTTGGAGTGACTAGTACGGACCAAGGCCACATTTTTGACCGCCTCTCTTATAGAACTCCTGCGGCGCAACGGTGTCACTCCAAGGGTTTCAGTGGCGCGCTAACAGCAATTTTTTTTTCATATATTTTTTTTTTGGACTCGCGCTACGGACTTCGCCTAAAAGGAGGGACTGCTGGTAGTCAAACCTGAGCTGCGTTTTTGGTGGGGTCATCTTTCTGGTGGCGTTTAAACCAATTTTTTTTTCTTATCAGCCCCTTCTTCAAAACTTCTTAACTTTTCACTAAAATTCACGTATAGCACGCCTTAAGGAAATGTCAGGAAGCAAATTTGCGGTTGCAGCGCAAATTAAGAAATGCCTATAGACTGATCAAAACTTTCTAGAGGCTAGTCACGAAACAACGTCCATCATTCATTCACTCGCTCACTCTAAAATTCACCATCACATTCAAGAAAAGAGAAAGAGAGAGGGAAAGAAAGAAGGATACATGACGAGCTTTGCACCGGGAAAAAAAAATATGGAAATTAGCTGTCTGCATATTCAATGTGCATAAGTAATTCAGCATAGGTTTGGTAACTCTCGGTAGCATGAGGTGTTCCATAAACACTCCAGGATATCCGATAATCGCCACAAAAAAGTAATTAAAGCTCCCCACGACTGAAATGAAAGAAAACCGCAACTTCCGATACAACACTTATTTGGTCGCACATTTTCCAGAAACAATACTCCAGGGAAATTTCGGGTCTTATTAGAAATAACCTAAAGGGCGGTTCACTGAGCTCATTTTCTTGGTCATTGCTCTCCTTTCTGATCAGACTACGTTGCGTTTTCTTGTCGGAAACTTCATATCGTGCTATGGACTTGAGTTATTTTACTATTCTAAGGCAGTACCCTGTATCAAGAATGATATGGTGGCTGAAGAATCGTTCGCTTCTAGCGAATCCTCTTCACTGCGGCGCTTGTCACGAGGACATGGTTATGGTTGGGAGAACCGATGGCCACATCGACGGCTATCAATGGCTAGTTGCTGCAATAAGTATATTATATGTGTACTATATATATTATTCACGGTTTCTCTTTTGAAGGGTCATATTTGGAGCTTTAGTTACGCTGTAAAGGAAGGCCGATAAGTGTTACCTTCAAAGTTCGCCTTATTATACTGCTCGGAGTTCAGAAAAACGCTTAATTTTACTTAATGTATGTTTTTCAGAGTTGATTTAGTACAAACGGTCGAAGATTACTTCAAATTCTGCATTACTGGGGCAAAATTGAAACTGATGAAGTAGCATAAAAAATATCACAAGAATTACAAAGGGGGGTTGGACTGCCTAGGAGTTAAATTTTCCCTAAAAGTTCATAACATACCTCACTTTGGAGGAGGCGCGAGACACGCGAGTTCGTGTGAACTTTGAAAAAATTAACTTACGCAAATCTTTCCCTTTCTGCGTCCTCTAAAGGCTTTCGTGCGCGCTTAAGTCCGCTTCTGAATCGTTTCAGAAAAAAAAATACTGTTTCAGTACAGTACAGGCTCGTAATAAAAGGCAAAACGAAGGTTTTAAATCATAAAAGTAATTTATAATTTACACTTCGGTTATCTATTCTTTTTTTAACTTAAGGAGATGCAGGACATGCAAGAAAAAGCGAAGTTTAATGGCCAATAGCTTTTTCGCTGAATTCCCCAAAATTCCTCTGGGGGAAATGATGATGATACTCTATTTTTGGTCTATCGATGAAACACGAACACGAACATCAAGAATGATGACCATGAATAGAAATCTGGTGTGCGCTATATTCAGACGTTTGGAGGGTGTGTGTTCCCAGGACATCACCAACAACCCGTTCATCCCCTTTAGCGGCCCAGCATTGGTGAAGTGCGATAAAAGCAAATTCTATCATAAGGCGAAGGTTAGTATTAAACAATGATAATAATAATAATAATAATAGCAATAATAACAACAATAATGATAGCTACGACAACAACAACAAACAAGCTCATTTTAATAAAAAAAAAAAATGCTGTGAATTTGAAGCCGCCTGATATTAAGCACCCAAACTTTAGCAGTGCTGATTATTGCCATATTCTGTAGTACAACAGACGAAGACGTGCTCCAGACGTGTGAGTATTCGGAGTCATCTCAACAGCTACGAGACCTGCTAGGAGATTTTATGAAGTGGTTGCAAGAGGGGATCGCAACACTCTTTTACCGATTCTCGAGAAGTGTCTCCTTCCTGGGAGTAAGGTTATCACGGACGACTGGGGCGCCAATGAAAACCTTGAGCAGCATCTTCCCAATCACGTAGCCCGGCATCGAGTCGTTGTCCACGCCGACAATTTTGTTGATCCAGTGACAGGGGTACACACCCAGGGAGCAGAATCGGCGTGGGCAAATTTGAAGGCTCCTATTAAAGCACGACGTGGCATCTCACGTGATGACGTTCAGACGTACCTCGATGATAGGATGTGGAGGCAATGGCGAGGTCTAGACAATATCCTTGGTAATTTTTCGCCTGTTTTAGCCTCGCAATATAGGGACTACGTAATTTAAGTTTGTATATTAAATTATGAGGCCACGAAATAAATAAATAATCACCAATCTCAAAACTCTTTGGAGATTGTTGTGATAGCAGGCTAGCCCCTGAATCGTGAGTGTGTTTCTTAATTTTTAATTTTCCCCCTTTTTTTACGCCTGTCACGACCCAACAAAAACGATCTTTAATTTTTTTTTAAAAAACTGAACTAGTGAGCAGCACTCTGCGAACAGTTGTTATAAAGCTTCTCTATTCTCCGACGCGTTTCTTTTAACTGTCATGACTTCTTAAGGGAGTTTTACTGGTTAAAACTAGACGCCTGTATTTATAAGCCATAGTTAGCGGCCATACGGGTACTAATGACCTTGAATGCTTGGCCGGACATACGAACAGGAACAGGCGAAGTTGTAAAAAAATTTTAAATTTTTTGGGCAACGTGAGAAAATATTTTTTAGCTAAAACCGTGGCCTCCAAAAATGATAGCAAAGCAAGCCCAAAACGGCAGAAATCTCAAAAACCACCGCAGACACGCAAGGGGTGAGTAAGTTTCATCATTCTTACGTGTAAAATGTTTATATTTCGGAATACCGGTGTCACAGCGGATTTGGACCCCCCGCGGATTTGGACCCCCCTTCGCGGATTTGGACCCCTCCCCCCCAACTAAACATTCCTTTTTCGTAACTTGTTCCAACTGCGAGCTTTTAGGCGATGTCCGTTAAAATTTCAACACAAGATTGCGTACTATAATTGACGAAGAAAAGGGCAGATATCGTTTCATTTCTGACACATTTATTTAAGTTGGTAGAAAAATGAATTAAATGACAACAAACTATTGGATTCGAACTATTGAAACTCATACCAAATCCTTTCTTATTCTGTTGCAATACAATTCTGAAGAACAAGTATGAAACTAGTACTACTCTACTAGAAACTAGTACTACTCTTACTTCAAGAGAACTGGCAAGCAAACAAATGATTTCAAAATTTACGTTTCATTTTCATTCCAGAGGTAAACAACAGACTTACAGCTGCAGGTTAATTAAACGAAAATCTTAAATTGAGACGCAATGCTGAGAAAAAGATCACGTCTACGAGAATGTTTTAAAATAAAAACCTACTTTCTGAAAAAAAAACTTTCTTTGAAAGCCTACTTTCTAAATTTTTATTATTTCTATTAGGAAGTTATGTATGGTAATGTTTTTACTCAGTTTTGTTAAAGGGGTCCAAATCCGCGGAGGGGAGTCCATATCCGCTAGCGGATTTGGACCGAGGGGTCCAATTCTAGGGGGGTCCAAATCCGCTGGGACACCGGCTTAGTGTTGTAAATCGACCATATTTCGTTCCCCATTCCTTATAACGCATTCAAATTCTCAACGGTTCCTCGCGAAGTAACACCGGGTCACACAACGCTTGACGCTTTCGTGAGATAATCTTGCGCTTTTCCACGGGACTTGAGCTTTGGACGCCTGCGCACCAACTATCTTCCTTTTCCAAACCACTGCGGTTTTTAATTCGTTTGTGCAATCGAAATGTAAGTAATAAAAAATAAAAAACTCTGTGAACAGACTTGAACCCCTAACTGACGCAACTTCTTGAGTGGTTTGGGAAAGCTTTGGGTTTCTTCGCTCAAAACCTTTGCTATATACAATAGTGATGTGATAGCGGAAATAGCGTTTTAGTATAATATTCCACTGGCCCCCCTCCAACAATGAAGTTGATTGGTATCGGCTTTCTTATTCAGTGTGTTTACCGATTGTAATACAACTATGACTGGTTGATATTTCAACAACCAACCGTCTTCCTTTTCCAAACCACTGCGATTTTTACTTCGTTTGCGCAATCGAAAAGTAAGGAATAAAAAGCTATGTGAATAGACTTAAACCCCTATACACAATATTGATGTGAT